TGAGGAGACAGTGAACCGTGGTCACCAATCAACCGCTTACCACACATGCTTGCTGGTGCTTGCTAGCTCGTGGTGTAAACAGTCCCGAACTCTGGACAGTCATATCGATCGCGTTGACAACTTGAATCCAACATATTTCCGTTGCTAACTTATAAATCCATTTGGTGAAGTAACGAAGACAGAGTGTGCACCCTATGGTGGTCCACTGTCGACAGCATGTTTCTGTGTGTGACTCGATCACATGAACCTTGCAAGTGAATGAAACAAAAAACAGTTGTGCACGAATACAACTGAAGAATACACGGTGCTCTTATGCACGTGCACATGTACATGTACGTAGCTAGCCAACGCTGGACTATGCATCGAATTCATCTCATGGCTCAAAGCATTAATAAAAGCATTTTGTTCTCTTGTACAGTGGATAATAGTAGGAGGGGGCTATGGTTTGTAGTCGGAGAAATGACTCACTGAAAGGCCGAAATGCTTTCATGGGAATGGCTCTGACACTTAGCGTCTTTGGCCATTTGAACGAAAGAATTCCAACCTTTTTCTTTTCTTAACAAAGCAGCGCCAGCTCCTGATTTTGGAAACAAAATCGATGTATATTATGTATGCATCTGTCCATGCGCACTGCTGGTGCACGACACGCATGTCGCTACTTTCTCCTCGGCAGCGGTCCTTCGTGATAGCGACCTCAAGAGTTCTGCCAAAAACAGGGACGACGACGACAACAACAACAACAACAACAACAACGACAACAACAGCAGCAGCAGCAGATGCCCTGCCAGATTTCGCTAAGCACACACATTTGGCTAAGCTACATATTTCGTCGTCAGAGCAGCTCTGTAAAATTGGCACAACGCATGTTCACGACCTCTAAGAAATGTTTGAAAGAGAGGCTGCTCTGGCAAGCTTTTGTCACTTGAATGGATTCTTCTGTCTTGCAAGTTCAGCCTAGCCTTTGATCATATTTTGCAATTCCCTGCCAGGAGTGAGTCGTAGCACACATTAAAGTTCCATTGATTTCCCGGATTCTGCAATAATTAGGAAACTTATTCAGCGCTTCTGCCTTTCACAACCGCGAAAAAATCCACTTTTGGAGAAAAAAAGACTGGACAGTTCTAATCTTTCACAATCATAAATGGCTATAGAATAATTTTTACTGATGTAACTGCATTACGCTTGGATTCATGTTATACATGCGGAATTATAAGATCTATATCCTGCCCACAATTTTCTTCTCATGTTTTGTTTGCACAGTGCGCTGTTGAAAAGTATCCCTGTGATTACTTGATTGACGCCTTCAAGGCTAACAGCTCAGAAAACAAAAGACAGAGATTTCGTGTATCAATACAAACCTCGTCCAGTAATTTCCAACCAGCCACTGTCAGGTCCATAGGCATAACGGATGTGTGCCGAGCACTCCATCGGCCCATTGCAAAGCCGGGATAATTTGATATGTGCTCCAGTCGACGGCGGACAATTTTTTAAAACTCTTTGCCGAAAAAAACCGCACTCGGCCTCGCCTATTTAGAAACACGTTTATCGTGACATGGCGAAGGACCGTGTCTGACGAAGCCACGGACCTGTGTCGTTTTGAAGAGACCTCAACGGGAATTAATCGCCAGCCTTAATTGGAGCAAAATTACAGGATTTTGGGCTGTCTGCTTGAGAAGTCTTTTGGAAGTCACCAGTTCGCTCACAAGAGTAGGGTTCAAGGGTTGCTTTTTGAAGTCACCGTAGGTTTAGTGAGCGCTTCCCTTCGTAGTTTTATTAACAACCGTTGCAAGCGTTTTCTAAAATATACTGTTTTGTGCGTTTCTTTGATTGTACGATAAATGTACAATGAAAAAGGGAAAATGAATAACAGCAAATTTAAACACCCTAAGACAAATGGATGACACTTGTTGACCAGCCTTTCTGGCGATCTGATTGAATCCATCAATTAATTGATGAAATTTATGGCAAGATTTTAAACTTCTATCTTTGCTGTGTTTTTTCCTTAGATTAGATAATCCTCGACTATACCAACCTCGTGCTCTGATCTGGTACTGTAGCTGCCGAAGATCGACTGATCCCAGTACATGTCCCATGTACATGTGCATCCAAGCTAAAATTCGTTTCTGATTGTGAGAAAGAACATACAAAAACAGAAGCATGCGATGAAGTAGAAGTGATCGAAAGAAAAACAGACAATAATGGCAGATAAAGTTATTTGACTCATCTCTTTTGGAATTTATCTCCAAAATGATTTAGATCTTTTTTCCCGCCGGTTAGCGACTTCAGAAGCGAGGGGCCGAGGGATTAGTTACGAACATAGCCAAAGGTAAATACACAATGCACGTTCTACGGCGATACGACTAGTCTGCAGCTTTTGTGCAAAATGGCGAAAATGACTGAAATTGTTATACGCACAAGCTAGTGGCAGGAAAGGTCATGTTTTATCTCCCTGTGTGAAGTTCGGGAACATCGTGTGCTATTCTGGCACAGAACCAGAACCAAATTTGGATATCTCTTGTGCAATTTGGAATGAAAAAATGGACCTCTCCAATAAGGTCACATAATCATTTCTCCCCTTGAAAACTGTCGTCCCTTTTCCATTCAAGTTTGCGCCCAACTCACTCAGACCAGTAATACGACAGCTCATGCGTGTGTGTTTTTTTTCAACCTCTATCTTTGTCCTGCTCCGTCCCTATCCCCCAAAACTGACAGCGATCTAGTCCGCAGAGCAATTATATACTTATTAGCAACTGACAATATTGTCCACACATCTACGCCTGCCGAGTCGCAGGCAACGATCAATATTGCCCGGGTCGTCAAGGGTACTCAAGCCACGATTCCCACATGTGATTTTTCATGGGATGTACCATTCTTGTCTTTCAGTCTTCATTTCGTTGTTTTGTTAATTTTTTTTCTGCTTTTTTGCCGCCTCTGTATGAAAACAGACAATTTTAAATCTTTATTGTGTAAGAAAATGTGGACCACATCAAAACCATGCTTGTCACCAAAAACTAGCAGAAAGTAATCGCGCCTTTTGACGGTGTTTTGTTGTTGTTTTGTAAATAGTTGTGTTATTGTGAACAAAATATGGTTGTTATTTGATTACTTCCCCACATTTAGATGTAACCCTAAAGTAACTCCCAATCTTTATACCGATACTTGAAAATTGTTCCAGCGCCGAAGAGCGATAATATGATGTCTCTCCGTTTTAATGGCAAAAGTCAACATTTTGCAGATTTTATCCTTTTTAGGGGACCGTATTTGGTGGGAAGGGGGAATATGTAAATCATCTGTATGCAGTCTGTTATGGCCTTTCTGAGGGGTGAGGCTACATTTTAAGGCTTTTTTCACATTTTGGGGAAGAAAATTAAATACTCCCCCAGATCGCCTTTTTGGTATTTTTCCCCCCAAAGTGCGACCCCTCGGATGCCCATGGTTTCTGTTTGCACCCTTTACTCTGCCAATCTCATTTGCACGTGTAAAGGCCGGTTCACACGCGTCGGAAAAGCGAACGTGAAATGGTGGCGTCAGATGAAATAGCCGTGCCACATTTCGAGTCGAGTGAAATTTTGCTGTAAAGGTTTTGTGAAGGCAAATAATGGCTTCACCTTCGCTTCCACCCAATATATGAACAGCCCGAAGGTTCACAGTCCACCGTGTGTTTTTGTGCTAGAATAAATGGTTACGGGAAAACCATCCCACCATACTTTCAGTGAACCTGACTCGAGTGATCAGAAGAAACAGAGCGTGAAAGATGGCATGGCAGAGTACATCGGATTCAAAGCAAAGTATGAACACATGTTATTGGTCAATGGAGGGACACGTCGAGAATGCAGGTGGTTAACACATACATTAGGATCGTCCGAGGAAAGCACATTGCGGAAATTGAGGAAGTGCAGCACAGATATTTATGTAATCATCAATAACTAAGAGGGAAATAAAGGCTATGGTGTGTCAACATTTCATGAAGTGGTCGCCACTCAAGGTTGAGTCCCTGAAGAACAGTATTGAGCTACATGACTGTTTTGCTGCAATTTGGTTTGTCTAAAACAAAAAAATATCCACCCAATTCCAAACAGAAAATCACCGTCAACGGTGAATTATTATGTCTGAGGCGCCATATCGACCAGAAAACAAGACAATAATCACCGTGTCGAAACCTGCGGGAAGACTTTTGAGGGGAAGTTGGGGAGGCGTCACGTCAGGCGTGCCGTGATGTTTCCCCGCCTCGAAGCTGGCGGAGCGATGGAGCGCGGTCCGCCACGGCCGCAGCGCGTGCGCCACGCACGCCGGTGACGGTGGGGCGAAGTGGGTCAAGGAGCATTGGGTCGCGGCTCTCTCTCCCGGGATGACTGCGGACGCATCCTCACCGGCTGTTGTCCGGTCTTCGATCTGTGCTGGCATGCTCCGTCTGCCGAGGAAACCCGCAAACAATGCGTCTTCCCCCCACAGCGGCTTGAGACAACCTTGATGATTGCAAATATCTCATAAGAATCATCCAACTATATATTTACCTCCCAGTCAGCGTTCAATAATATCTTCACTTCCTTTGTAATACAAACTACATTTGCACAAACGCTTTCGTTTCCTGAAACCCTTTGTTTATGGATAAAGCTAGCTTCACATTCTAGAGCACCATAGACTTAATTGAGCATTCTGTACCCTTCTTTTAATTCGCCTGATGGCTAGCATCTGATGTCTTTCCGATCCGTTCCGTTCACGAAATTTGAAAGAAGCTGGTTTCAAAGTTTGGATTTCATCTGGAGTTAGAAACAAATTGGTTGATAAAAAAATCGGTTGATTCATATTCCAAAAGACGGGCATGGAATTGTCTCAATATTGGTATTAAACATTGGATCATTTTGGGAAAGAATTCACCCTGAAGCGCATCGCTATATTGACAGATTTGGATCATCAGGTTACTTTTTTTTGGGGGGGGTGCATAACTAAAAATAATGACAAACTGAGTTATTCTCAGGTTTAATTAGTACCATCACGAAATCTTTATTCATACATTTTATAATCACTGGGAAAATCATTATATTATTATTTACATCAAAATATGACACTTTTATGACCACAGCTATATATGATAACAATTTTCCCCATTGGCCAAGGGATGAATTAGGTCGGCGGAATTAGCGGAGAATGAAGACCTAATGAAGCTTGCTCGAAAAAATATTAATGTGGGTCGATTGGGGAAGAGGAAAAACATCAGCGAAGGCTCGTACAGCCTTGACGGTGGAAGGAACGAGCGAAGCATCGACGATATCGAGCGCCGGTCAGATGCGATTGTGATCGGGTGATCGTTTGCGCTAACTTGGTAGAAGGTTACACGCTCTAAAACAACGCCCGAGAGGGCGTTTATGAAACTGATATTAATCTGATAAAGGCTAAATGAACAGATCTGCAGTTGAAAGTGAGGCGGGAGTTCTGGGAGGGGGGGGGCGTGACGAAGGGAGTCGCTCTGATATCCCGTTACTGTGGTTGAGCCACTGGTTCCGTATTTTATGGGCGTTTGTCGAAAGCTTCGAGCGGGTGTGAAGAGCTTTTCCCCATTTGAGAAGGGATAACAATAGCCAATTTGCATGAAAAGGATACCTCTTCATCGATCCCTTCTATCTGTAACGGTGTGCCGATGACCTGCTTATGACTGCTTTGCCCCCCCCCCGAAAGAGGACTTACCCCTTTCTGACCACACCCACGGATGTGGCACTACATTAACGGTCACCGAATCAGTTTGAACGGTCCTACTTAGGTATCCAAGACGTTTGAAATCAAGGCCTACGGAATTTTGCAGTGTTAAGAAATAAAGTCCAAATCTTTTGAAAGCCACTCACCTTTTTTCTATCAAAGCAAGGAAAAAATTGAGATATATACCTGGCTTGCACCAGCATCCTATACACAGTGAAATTAAAAGAACTTTTTTTACAAGAACTACACCAGTTAGTGAAGACTACAGTCACCAAACTTATCTAGTGCATGATCCTGGTTTACAAAAGCTACCATCAGCGGGGGCAGTCCGGAACACGACCAGCAGGAAAGGGAGTTATTATATTATGGTCCTTTTATCATTATGGTTCCATGTTGACGAATGTGGAGCGAAAATGATCGCTCACATCTCTCAATATTTATTTCTGTCCCGTGGTGCACAACGAAGGGTTATAAACAACCCACTCTCCAAAAGAGTGAGCCCGTTGCAAAATATAGGAAATTATTCTGAGAAGTCTAGACTAAAAACCACTCCAAAAAGAGTGAAATTTCCTCTCTTTCAAAAGGCCACATGAGGGAAAACTCGTAAAAAGAATAACTATGGTTCCTCTTTTGGAGTGATCATAAATCTTTCTAGAATGGTTCTCACTCCTTTGGAGTCTTTTTTATAAGGAGCTCCCTCTTTTGGAGAATGAATTTTTCACTCTTTTGCCTTTATTAATCTGCTAAATTTGTCCTTGAAAATTTTCATCGGTCTCTCAAAACCACCAGCGGCCAGCGTTATATAAAACTCCTACACTACCATCGGCAAAGTAAAGTGAATACAAGACTTAGTATTGCACATCGATAAATAGAGTAAACTGTATTACCACGAAAATACTATGTACATTCCCAGCCCTTGAAGGTACGGCTCCTGTTCAAGTTTTTTTTTCACGTTAAAATAAGTTTCATATAATTTGATAATTCAGACCGCCGACAATATTCAAATTTGTGTATTTTTACTCGGTTTCTGGGATTGGAAAGAAAGGCAGGTTTGAAAAGTTGCCTTCCTAGAAAAATGAAAAATTGTGTTGTCAGCTCCGAGCACGATGTTTGAATTGTTAAATGAACTTTTCACTTTTAAAGGAAACTGGCAAATGTCATTTCGGTAATTTCTGACATGACAAGTGCCTACAATGTCTTTCATCAGATCAGAACCTTTTTTTATGCATCAGATGTCTGACGTTATGGGCTCTTCGTTCCGCATTTTACCACGTCCACCCCGACAGTCACACATTTAGACCCGTAGTGTTTAAGATAGGTGTCGGGTCTGCTCGAGTTTGCGTAGTGAGTACGTAGTTCTTGTGACACAAAAAATAACAAAGAAAGAAACAATAGGTACTCCACCATTAATTGTCTCCAAATGAGACGCCAACAGCTATGCAACGATAAGACGCATGACTGGAATTTCCAAATAATACATGGCAAAAACTACAGAATAATTTCGTTTTTATTAATGTTAAATATTGATATGGACGCTTGATAACCTTTGTAACAGTTTGAGCATGCGCACGTTGCTTTGATCATGCGTGTATAATTCCGAGCAAGCGCAATACTGTGAAAAGGGACCAGTTTGTCTACTGCCACCAGCGTCTCAAAGTCTCTCATCGTGTTGGAGAGTTTTCCCGGGAATTTAATACATCATTATTTCTCTGAATCCGTTTTGTTTTCAAAACTCAAGGTATTTTTCGACATCGTTTTACCTGTTTGGCCTTCTTGAGGTATTTTTTTTACAGTATATCAAATAAGGTCACAAGGGGGAAAATTGGCTTCTACATGTGTGAAGTATACTATCGCGTCTTTAAATTGAAAATATGTCGTTTAATAGCGCTTACGAGAGAGGAATGTTGACCGTGGTGTTTTGGAATAAAACGGGACCGAACGACGACCTATCAGAAAGTCAATAGTCATCTGAAAATTCCGTTGATGGTGGCAGTGTGTTCTAGCGCTCGCCGCCTCAAGGACGCAATGCTAGTCCCCCGCCACATGTCGCCGCCGTCGCTGGTGGCCGCCGAGCAGGAGAAATCCCCGGCCATGGACGCGTTGGTGTTGCCGGTGGGCGAGCTGGGCATGACCCCGCCGCCGCCGGCCGCCACCGCCGAGGCCGACGACACGGCCGAGCCCACCCCGCCGAAGCTGGGCTGATACATGGACTGCATGTGGTTGTTGCCGGACATGGCCGTCAGCCCTCCCGTCAGGTTCTGCAGGTTGGAGGCCGCCGATTGGCCGATGGGCCCGGACCCGCCCATCCCACCCATCTGGCTCAAGCCCTGGCCTAGCCCCTGGCGGGGTAAGGTGGGTGGCAGGGCAAGGGAGGGCGACGCCCCGCCCATTTGGGACATCTGCATAGAGGTGGGCCAGCCCCGGGAGTCCACGTTGCTGTGGAAGTTGCAGAAAGGCTCGGCGCCCATCGCTGAGGGGAACTGGGGTAGGCCGTGTGAGGGCAGCAGAGAGCCTGGAGACCGGAACACATTTGTAGTCTTCTTACGCTTCTTCCACTTGGCACGGCGGTTCTGAAACCAGACCTGAGCAAATGAGAATGAGAAGAAAGCGTTGAGAGGGCTGCCACAAGGTGATGACCAACGTGTAGCAGTTAACGGGCAAGTTCGAGCTCAACCGTTCGTGAACCGCTAGTCGATTTTGCCTGGTTTGCGCACAGGTTACCTTGGAAAATTGACCAGTGGTCGACAAATGGCGTTGTTCGAACTTGGCCTTTATAAGTGCAACACTGCTAGGACAGCATGCTGATAAACAGACGCTGTTGCGCACAACAAACCATTGCACATTACAATGTAGTAACTACACAAACATCATACACTGAGTACGAAGCCTTTTCACGGACCAGACGGTGCATGTTTGTAACCAAATAGCTTAAGTCAGCGCAGTGGCCTGCCATTTCTGTCCGTCGACTTAAAGGCACACAGCAACGTTTTTTCTCTGACACTCTGCAACTAATGCGCAGGGGAAATAGCTCCCGAGAAAGATGGTTTAGCAGCCGTGGGCATGGGTGCTCTTTTTTCATGCACTTTAAAACATCGCCTAAAGTTCAGATAGCTTTTGCACTCATTTTTAAAACATATTTAACAAACGACATGTTAATAAATTTTAAACTGAATTGCGTCTGGAATGTGTTAAATGCTAAACGTTTTTCCATGGTATATGCCTGTGAAGTCCGGTAGGCATTTAAATCCATTCCTAAATTAAGTGTTTAGGAAAGTGTTCAAGCTCTAAACACCTTTTTTACTTTGTGTCCTAGAAAATATTATTTCATGTTGAACACTCTGGTATTCCAAAAATTTCTCGTCTAAAATCATCAATCTCAAAGGTTGCATTTGAAAATCTAACAGACTGTATTTTTTCTGCGAGGAAAAAGAAAGTCCTTCGGCTTTCCAATAGCCCTCGTACCCTGTGGGTTCATGGCAGACAGTGACGGATACAATATCACAGCGGAACTGGATGTGTGCTCTCAACTCGAGTCGATGACAAGATAATGGACGATCAGACAAGTTCCGAAAGCCGGATGATTTTTATTGCCGTTCCCGAAGTCCGTAACGCGACACTGCCATCGCCGCGATGTAGTGGCCCAGCGTCCCCGAAGAAAACCGGCTTTGTGCACGGCGCAAGTCGAGCTGTGATGTCGCGCTGGAGGGATGCAGCGGTAATAACGCCGATTATAATAAAACGACATCAGCGCACAATGCGCTGACACCATATACATGACATCATATTTGATTTACTGTCTTCGATCTTTGCTCACGGAATGATTAAAAGCGGTCATGAGTACCACGGGCTCTTGTGGTATCTTATCTGTCTGGGGAAAAACGGCGGTTTCCAAAAGTGATACTTTAATAACGACTTGTCAGATATGACGGGGGAAAATGATGCGTACAATAGTGCTAAAGGAGTTTTTGGACAATCAGCGTGGATTATGTCCGCAGCGGCAGCGGAGATATTAACAGGACGACGCGACATTAACAAAAAAACCATAGCGGAGTGGCTTCTCAGGTGTCGGCGAATTAAAAGGAGCTATGTTCATCCTCAAAAGGGGGGAAATGTAAGGGGGCGGCACACCAGGCTAGAAGGGTGGAATCAAATTTCAGAAAGTCGTAAAAAGGTTGCAGTGTCAATTCTCAGTCTTGGACAAGGGTTAGGGAAGTATTAAGAAGAAGAAGAAACTAGAGGAGTGAGCATCGCATGGGATGGAAAGTGAGAGCACGGCATGTAGGTCTAATCCACTTATGCAGTGTGGTATCTCGGGGTATCACGTGTTGAGTTCCCACCCAAAAAAGGAGTGTCAGGCTCAAGAACGCACGCGTGACGTACCACACGTTCCTGAGCATGATGCGCGCGTGCATTCGACAAGCCGCAGCATGCTAAATGCTCCTCTTTCCATATGCACATTAACACTTGCGCCAAGCGTTGCGTATTCGTCAAAATCGCTCCCCGGGCGAATTTGACAGCCGAACGCAACGCACACGTATTATTATGTTAAAGGAGTCGACTTCTGTGTCCGTGAAAGTGAAACACATGAAAGCATCTTGTGCGCAACGCTCCCAAAACGCACATAATTATATGGAAAGGCGCCTTGATAGGACAAGAGGCGCCTAACGCGAGCGTACCAACCGTTCAATCTAGTGGTGCTGCCGCTGCAGTGATGGTTTTCTGATTCTGGTCGCTGGGTCGTGCCTATTTGTACCTGTATCGGTTCACAATGCAAGTATCACAACACTGAAGTTCTTTAAAATGTACTTCAGCATTGACAAATTTGACGAATGCTACTTTTTCTTCGTTTATAAATTTTACCAAAATATATACGTATGGATAGGAAAAACGTCTTACTCCCGTTCCTATAACCGCTTACTTTTCGTTTTCTTTGGAATACTGTCTCCAACAACAGACAATACATCCGTCATTATTCCTCTCTATCGTGGAAAAAAGGAAACCCTTTTCCACTTTCGTTAGACCCTCTTTCGCATCAGATTGTGTCGCTGAAACCTCCACCATTTTGAAGGAAGTACAAAGGATTGAAAAGGACACGGACGCACGCGACGCCCTGTGCCAAGGTCGCGTGGAGTGGATCGTGTATCTCATCTCGGTCCGGCTTCAAGTAGGCAAAGCAAAGGGCCCAAATTAATATAATTTGTTCGGGGCAAGAGCTTCCTCAGGGTGGCCAGAGATGTTTCATTTGAGATGGTTTGTGCAGCGCATTAGTCGAGATCAGCCGGCAAATGAGGGCCAAACAATGCCGCGGAATGACGGCGTGTCGTGACCGCGTGCATACCGTCGCGCGGCTGGTGCATCAAGGCAAACCAGCCGTTGGAAACACGCCTCACGATGGGAGAATGATTATGTCCCACGACTCTCACATCATCAAGGTTAATAATGAAGTTGCTACGTAGGTACATTAAGGACGCGCTTGCCGACACTGCATAATTATCACTAATATAACTCATGGTTCCATGAAAGAATTAAGAAGTGCGACGTGTCTACTTTCCCGAGATTGAGAGAATTTAAGCCGATAAGGGACACAGTGAAATTATCTTCACTCAAGAATAAAAATGTTCTGCTTAACAAATTTTGATTATTATGAAGACAAATTTTTAAGGGATGAAAATTTGAATAAATTAAGAAATAGATAATAATGATTTTATTCATAGGCACAAGTTGGAACAAATACACAGGAAACCTGCAGAATAAGCCAATGCACAGGCAATGAACATTAAAATAAGAGGTAAATGATTTCCTCACCTGTACGCGTGACTCGGTGAGGCCAACGCGCATGGCAATCTCCTCCCGCATGAAGATGTCCGGATAGTGGGTCTTGGCGAAGTTGCGCTCCAGCTCGTTCAACTGCGCGGGCGTGAAGCGGGTCCGGTGTCGCTTCTGTTTGACCTGCGCATAAACACGCCAGGTGCATTATAAACACGAGCAAACAAGACTTCGTTTTTTTTTTTCGTGGCATGGTATGAAGGGCGATGAGATAAAACGTCCGAGTGATGAGACATCAAAAATTGGCGAGATTCTACGAGAACGTGGGTCCATGGAGCACGTCATAGTCGGTTGTATTTGTTTTTCTGATGAGAGCTTAGCCGGACAATTTCAATAAATTTGATCTAGTGAAAGAGAATAATTATGTAAATTCTTAAAACAATGCAAACTGTTAACCATAATAATAATAAGAAATCCCGGAGCACACACAAAATGACTTTCATTTACTACACTGCATAGATAAACACGATAAGCCCGAAGTACATTAGCCATTGGTGGGATATAATATGCATTTACGTATGTGTGAGACGCCGAGATATGCCTTTGTTTGGTACAAAGAGGTCCAATATACAAATAAAAAAAATGAGCGTAAAATGGCAAGGTGGACAGGTTCCGTTAAATATGGAAGGCATTTTTTCGGAATAGACAATTCCGGTGACCATGGTAACGCCATCACTGCTCATTTGCAATGGCCCGCGCCAATGGTAGAAAACATTGTGACTATACGTACATTGCCATGTACGTAGCCGATGTTCCGTGACAACGGCTCTCTCAAAATCGAGCACCATGCTCTCTGCCCCTTTTGAGGGGGGGCATGTCGAATGTCCAGTGAAACATGGCTGGATTCCTCTGTAGCCTGGAACAACTGAAGATGCGTTTCGAAATGTTTGATGAAGGTCCGGATGACAGCAAGGGATAATTTCTCAATCTTTCTTTTCACAATACGACCCACTTAAGATTTATCCATTCACACGAGGAAATGCCATACGATGACTGAATCGGGGATACAAACCAACACTGATACTCTCACCGGAAACTTTAATTCAAATGGTTACCCTAGATGATGAGTTTTGCATGAGGTTACACGGTGAGAAGGAATACTGTCCTTCAGCTGTTTCGTGAACAGCCCAATCACAACATCATTTATGAATTTATGTTGTTGCGAATGGGCAACCAGTGTTTTAAATCTCAATGGGGCCCTTTCATTCAACCAGATAATATATAATTATAATCCAGCCAAGTGTAAGAGGTATGACATTCGTTCTCCTAGCGACAAATTTGATGGTTCCTTCATTTATGCGAATGTAATGTACTAAATTGCATCTTCACGACAAAAGGTACAAGACCACCTTTAGACCGTACAATAAACGGAAAATTCTTTACGAAATTTACAATCAAACAGAAAAAAAGAAGAAAACTTTCGCAATGTTTAATACAGAGCACACAAGGATGTGTTTCTTCCATTTCAACGAAGAATGCAAGATGCAGTCTGCTAAAGAAAAACTGCAGTCCGCTCAAAAGAGAAAATATTTTGGATAATTTGGGCTGGTGAGTGGGAAGAAATGCCACGAATGATCTCCTAACCACTCCTGATGCAGTCTACGGAGACTTGAGGTTCATCGTATAATGATACGAAATAAGATTTTTTTCTTACACAATGCGACCATACTTTAAGACATGAGAACAGTGTCTTGAAGGTCACCTTTCTAATTTTAGCAGAGCTGTAAGCAAACCAGACATTATAACGTGGAAAAGTAATCACCTCTTCTTATGTTTACATTTTCGGTGTTTTTTTTTGTAATTATAAATTTATGCTTTGATCTGTTCCTTTTGAAAACTGTGTGCTTAATGACACAACAGAATGACTAGAGGTACATCTATATTTGCCCCAGACAATCAGAAAAGTAATATTAGGAAAAACCTACATACGTGTATGGTAGCCAAACAAACCAAATAAAATGTACAACTTAACAAATTAATGAAATAAGTAAATAGAAAATATAAACAAAAGGATTGCAAATGAGCCAATATTTTACAATTCTTGATTTCATTTCCGGGTTGTGCGCAAATTGTTAACTCTGTATTTTCTTTGCCCGCATGCGATGGAAGTAAGCAATTCCGAATCTGTCTGTCTGCCTGTGAATTTGAACGTCGTACCTGTTTATCGTCCTCGCCAGCTGAGCCTCCGAGGTTGGTGTGGCCGTCCGCGTTCGGACTACCCGTAGTCGTCGGCGTGCTGCTGACCTCGTTCCCGGTGCCGTAGGACATCTTGTCCAGCGTGCGACCGTGATGGCCCTCGCAGTCATTCTTGTTGGCTGCATCAGAGAGCGTCAGAGAAAAACAGTAGCACACGCCTTCGTTAATTTTGCGCGCACTTTTTCAAAGAATGCAAGTGCTCGAGTAAACTACAAGTGCTGTGTTTAGAAGTCAGTGGTGAAAAACAGGCGGCATTTTTGCCACTAGCTGGCTGGACTCCAGTCATGGTCTATTCTCGCCAAGTCGCATTATATGTAAATAAAAACTGTAGAGGGGCGTTGGGGGTTGGAACCCCCCCTTAAGCCATGGACTAAACGGATTTAGCCGTGAAAAGACGGAAAATGAGTACCATAAAAAATTTCTGGACGACGATGCCCTTAGCAGGTCATCCCTTCGTACGCCCATCAACCTCCCCCCTCTGTTTCCTGAAAACTGGATCCGCCCCTGTCGAAGGCGAGTCCATTTCCCCAATACTGATCAAAATGATTGCTTCTCGCCAATGCATCGAGTCCAAAATCACGGGAGATCGGAGAAAACACGCAGATCGCGGAAAGGGTAGCGACAGGAGGTCTATGTGGTGCCGCTTCAAACAAAACACAATCCCGATTGTATCGACACAACATTCATTTTAAAACGATGCCTATAACCCAAGGGTGATCAATAAATAAAAGTGAGCGAATACTGATCGACTAAAGAACAGATCCATTAGAATCAGCCCCGATACAACTGTTCTGCGGTGAGGGGCTAACCTGTCCTTTCTTCATCCTGACACCTTGAAATGACACTGTTGGAACTGCTAGTTTTTCACAGGTTTTTTGTTGATTATAATTATCAAGATTAGTCAGTGATACCTCCTCTGACGAACACTAAATAACGAACTGCAACTCCATGAGGTTTTAAACTACAACTTCCACCACAATGAAATAGCAGAGAACAGAAAGCCAATAAATAAAATTAATTGGTCGATACAGATATAAAAACCCTACAATAATCCCTAAACACATCCACAACTGAAAGCCGTATATCTTCAGTTAAACATTTTGATTCCTACTTATCACCCCTTTTTTTCGTGATTGAAAATGGTAAGACTATGACTACCGATTCAGGGTTTTGCATTCAATTAATACGACCACTGTAAACCATGCAGCTTGACATTAAAATTAAAATAATCTGATGCAAGAGGAATCCAATCCGAATGTGCCATGTCAAGCGTAAATGAACGTGAACATTGTAAAGGAAGTATAATTCCACGAAGAGCGAATCTGTTACAACGAAACGGCCAAGATTCAAGGAATTGCTTTTTTTTGGCACGGCCGAATTGAGTCAACGTCTTCGAATGCCTGAGAGGGAGGACACACTCCGTGTCTGCAGACAAAAACTCAATGAATCCAGGACATCTCGTCCTTTAAACAGAAATCAAAATTAATGAACAGAAATCAAATCATTTGACAACACGTTTGGAAATTAAAACGACGCCCAAACCTTCTTTTAAACAAGATTTTGTAACGCGGTGGCCATTAAGTGATTTAACGAGGGAAATATGCCATCAGCACATCCACATTTTCAATGTAAATATTTATGTTGATGTCGAGACAATAGCAGCGGACTCACTACTCATGCGCTTATTTAGCTGGAATTTATACTGGGATATACAAGTCTATTTTGAAAAAATCCCCCCCCCAAAAAAAATCAATGTTCATTATCTGCTCGGCGAGTGACGGCTGGGTCATCAACTTTAGTTGACAGAAATTAAAGAAAAGTTTGATTTGAAAGTCTTTTGAGAAAACGAGCGAAAGGCATAATACTCTAATACCGAGTTTCAAGTAGATATTATGCAAATCGACGTGACTTAATATAAAGGGGTTAGTAGCACTTTGTCTCTGGTGGACCAAGATGACTTTTTGTTTGTAAAACAGATTTTGTGGGTTTTTTATCATATTGAGATAAGCGCACTTACAGTGATTGACCGGTGAGGGGACCATCTTTCCACTGAGTACCGTATGAGACAGCATCGCATCGGAGGGCACGTGCATGACGCCCGCGTGGTCCAGTACCCGCTCCATGTCCGTCAGGGAGGTGTCCGGCGAGCTCAGTCGCAGTCCGTTCATTTGGCCGACTGATCAACAACTAATCAGTCTTTGCCTTCAAAGAAAAAGGTATATCCCCCTCCTGAAATCACGGCCGGTCCCCTCGTACGTCCAACGCACGTCCAAACGTCACGCGACGAGTGCTGGCGTTGATTTTTTTTATGCGCCGTGTCGGCCTGCGCCATTGGAGCTCCGCTGGAACTAACGAGCGGTGTAATTGGCCGTCGCTGAGATAATGAACACGCCGAGCCGGCCAAGAAGGGCTCTGATTGGCCAATCCCCGACGCGCTGTAGCAACACTAGTTGTAACAAGTGGTTGACAAATTGACAGACACGTCTGATAGTGCGTGATGTGATTATAATTCACATTATTGATATCTATCTCCCCAACAAAGAGAATTCTGGAGTAAATAAGCCCCCGGCTTTGTTATTTTGTTTCTCTCCAGCGCCCGGTATAATTATTGTAACGATCACTGGTTGCGTTATCGTTTTTATAATTTAGCTCATTACGCGGGCATATTTGTTTTTGCCCGGGCAGCACAATGGCCGCTGGCCGGCTTTATTTGCAGTGCCCATTGTCTCAGACGGATGACCAGGCAAGAGATCCAGAGGCCGACGAGACTGGGGCGCATTGTCGGTCTTTGGCGAGCGGAAACACAGCGTCCATGCAGCGCTTGCTAAAGAAACAAGAGCGCGTGGGATCGCGGTGGAGTTTTCTTAAGGCGGCAGGCCTCGTTTCATTAACTCTGCGCTCTCCTCGCGCGGCTAGACATTGTCTTTGCCGTCCTCAATTCTTCCCAAAACAGCGGGTCATTCCCCCCGCCCTTTAGAGGGAGAAAATGAAACACCAATTAAAATTCTTTAAGAGGAAATTAAAAAAGCAGTACATAGTTGCCGGCCGTGCTGGCTATTATTCCCCCCTTCCGAACCGATTAATGTATCCGACCGGCCACATTCGGGTCGCAAGCACCGATGTTTATCTTTCTAGAGAGCGAAGGCGGAAAATGTTATTCTCCTACTTCGTTGCCAAGTCAGAGATTTTTTGGTTCGCCGCCACTCTACCCTCTAAAATCCATCAGTTCTGGGCGTTTGGAGGCAACAATCGGCCTTAACATTATCCCCTGACAGTGGCCATCGTCAGGCGATTTGTTGCGGTCCAACGGACAATGTTCTTTCAGAGGACGAGACTCAAGGCCGGCCATTTTTCGTTTTTAACAGTCATTGCACAAACTGAAGCTTCTTTGAATCATTCAGGTGACTCCCCGGTCTAAAATGAGATTTGATTCAAGCTAATTGTATCAAAATAGGCTTACTATGACAGACCTTTTCACTGTGAATGAATCGCTCGCAGGCCTGTGCCTGCTTGTAAACTCACTGGAAATTTTCCCCTTGAGACCGTCTCACAAGAAATAACCATCATGTTCATTGTGAGGTTTATCACAAGATATTTCAATTGCATTTTGGGAATTTTTAACTCCCCCCCCAAAAAAAAAATCAGTCACGCCATGTTATGTTTTCTTGCAGCCTTTCCCGATTCGGGCATGCACCTTTTCGTGTTGCCGCCCAAACTACACGATCACCGAGACCTTATAGCGAAGATATCAGTGCTGGTAGTATAAATGTTCGAACCAAACTGCCGAGTTACTGTTGTTCTCTTTCGGCATGTGGTATACCATCGAGATCTTTGCTGTCACTCTCGTCTCTAGTTTCTTCATCATAGCCCCATCGTGATCGTCACGATCCCCATCGACGGTATCGGTTCAGTACTCTCATTATGAGGGAAATCCCCCAACATTCTACCATATTCTTCAACCAGCCAAGAAAAAAAAACAGCGACCACGAGCGAATAAAATCAGTCTGCTCAAATGAAGTAATCCGATCAGGTTTGTAGCAATCATTATGTCTAATAAAATAAAGAAACACCGAGAAATTGTATTCAATTCATTAAGTCTGTCTAACTAATTTATACACTTAGTTGCGACAAAGTATCTTCATCAAAGATAATAGCAACCTCAAACTATTCATTAATGCAGTGAGCGGTTGCGATATAGGCAGAAGCACAAATATTACGTAACCCTCGTCCATTTTGCGTCGCTGTATTGACATCAACGTACGATACTCCGAATGTAGGACGCTAGAGGATCAAATGCATGCATTTCAACAGTAATTTATGACATTCGGTTTGAGCACTGACGGCGAAGCACTGCATGGTGAAAATCTGTTGTAAAAATAGTCATGATCCGTATTGAACACAGTGGGAACATTCATACATTTTGGAATGTGCCTCTGACAAAATTCAAAATAGTGAAACAAAGGACAACATGTTGTAGAGTAAAATTCATCCTGAATTTTGATTGGAATCGTTTAAAAAGGAGCCCTTTCAAAGGAAGCTCGAGTGAAATTTGATCCACTGGGGCGAAGAATTTTCACTTGAGTTCGTCTGGTCCCTATAGTTTCAGTCGGAGGGAGTGAATTTTCAATCCAATAAAGTGAATTTTCAGTCTTTGGACTGTGATGACATGGGTTATATTTAAACGACAACTTTGAAGAAGGCCGAGGGAAGAGAAAGGTCGCCTCTCAGAAACATCCATAGAGAGTAAATCAATTTTTGTAACACCAAAATAGATAATAAAAACAGAACTTTCACTGAATTGAGGGATTCGTTGACGTCCACATTGATTTTTCAGAATGTGATGTACACTATATAACTTTTTATAACATTTTATTTGCAAAAAAAATATTACGTTTCAATAGTGGTCGTGTGGGCGCACGTATGGCGCTCAAAGATGATTTCATCAAAGTAAAAATATACAGTGTCTAAAATATTCCCCCCCTCACACACAACAAAAAAATTAAGGGTATGTTTTCACACGGTAACTCCTCAAATGACGGTATCAGCGTGTGGAGTCACGGACTGGGGCGAATTTCTTGATTTTTTTTCCTTAACTGCTTGGCGTCGCGGACGGGAACGTTGAAGAACGCACGCAAAAAATATATATATATATATATGCATAGATGGGGAGCGAACTGCGTAGGGAAATTTGCATCCCGCATGCACTGCCCACGTCCCGAGTCGCTGGCATGGTGATGCAGTCGGCCCTGTCAACCTCAGTTAGCTCCCGCGCCGCACCACGCGCCGTCACTTTGTCGCCATGGAGACGCAACCGGTAAAATCTCTCCCCCACTACTCTCTCTCCCCCTCTTTCTCTCCCCCTCTGTCCTCCTCCTTGATCCTGCGTGTGTCGGGAGCGAGAGTCCGTTCTATTTGGGCTGATTTCCCCCTCCGTGTTGCTATTTATTAGCGTGTTGATCAGGTCGTTTATACTGTTGATCAAGGTATATTGTGAAGTTGGGGTCCCTGGCAGTTAAACTGCGCGCGGCCTAATCGCGTTTGCAAATTAGCGGCGAATTCTCTGCCTAACAAGACCAAGTATTCGTTAACTAAAGACGCATGCTGCACATTAGAGGCCCGAATTGGTTAAACAAAGTTTGATGGGGGGCATTTGCGCGAGTTAAATCAAGGAAAACAGATTGTTTGATTCATTCTTAAGAGTAATGAATTTGTAACAGAAGCCCTTGTTACCAATTTGGATGAAGGTACGTGAGTTTATGCAACTAAAAAACCCCACTAAATGACAGATTAACCGACTGATTCCCCAGCAGACACCAAAAACAAAACAAGAAAAAATCCGTAATCGTCAGTCAAATAGCTGAGTAATTATTTACAACGAACTCTTCATGATTCACAATTATTATTACTTGACCTATACACAAAATACGTAGCAGTTGTCAATAAATATTATGATAAAAAACAGCTTCCAGACTGGCTTGACAACTGTATTTTTCATGTTACTCCAATTACAGACAAGTGGCTTAAAAACAATCAGTCAGTTTTCAGTTGCACGATGTTGTAATTCATTACCTCATTACAACGATGACGACATGACTAATGCTGAAAGATTGTGCCAGAAAATTGTTAATTTTAAGAAAACAAATTCGAAACAGGACGCAGACTGCAGTCTAGTCGTACAGCTCGAAGCAGGTTTTAACCCTAAAAAGGGTCGGGCTTTTCAGATCATCTCGGGGCCAAGGGAAGCGGATTCCACCCCCTAAAACTCGGCTTTCTCACGCCCTCTTCCTTTAAAAACCTAGCATTGCATATCAAGACGCTGGTTATCAGGGCATCTGTGAAGTTTCAATTCAATCTGACATAATGGTTTTGCTGTTATGATCATGTGAACTCAACCAATCTACCTCTCACCAGCAGGCTTTCACGTTACGTATACATTGTATGGAATAGGCTGGTCAAGGAGACGGTATTACTGTGTTGGTACGTGCTTTCTTCATCCGAAACGCCTGTGCATTTTGGTAAGACACAGCTTCCAATTGGTCAAAGGCAAGTAACGCGAGAGTACCACTTGTCTACGGTGGCAACACAGTATCTTTTGCTGATTCCGGTTACCGGCTTCAGCCAATGAGATATTGTCGTCCAGTTCGTTTGTACAGTTACATCTAAACTGGACAATTAAAGGATTTAGTGCAACAGCCATTTGAAATTGATGGCATGGTATTTTACTCAGAGTGACTGATGGTTTCACCACAATGCGTTTGAAAATTTACCATGGTTGGAGAATGAGTTGTCATTGTGTAAACTTGCTATAAACCTGCAATTTAACTAGTGAAAATATTCAGGTGCAAAGAGCAGTTACCCAGATGCACTGAGAGTAAATTTGGATCTTGGTCGGGTTACAACAAAGCCAAGCGTCTTCCATCCAGCACAAACGATTGCATGAACGATATCGACTGCACGGGGGATCCGAGAGAAATTTCGAGTGGAAACGATACCTCTACCGAGATTTTGTCTTCAACTGGAGCTTTGTCAATTGCCATCATCAGGCGATCGCGTGCGCAATGTGTGTAGAAATGAGATTACGAGAATGCACTGTGTTGAGTGTCGTCGTATGGACAGTATTCTGCGCAAATCCATTAACGTCACTGTCACTTTGGTCCTGCTAGAAAAGTTCGTGATCACGTGCCACAAGTAGGCAGGAGTGTATCCTG